GGTGTGTGTGTGTGTGCTCAGTCAGGGCCGGCCCAGGGAGGTGCGAGGTGCTGCGTGCCCCTCATCTCCAGCCAATGTGTGGGGTCGTCCCAGAACAAGGCAGACACTGCATGCTCGCTGCGGTGGACGGGCACAGGTGTACAGGCCAGGAAGCGGTCGCCTCCGTTTCCAGACTCACTGTATCCCTGGCCCTCCCCTGAGGTCGCAAGGGCAGGGGAGCAGCCATGGCAGCAGCAGAGGGAGAAGCGTGTGCCGTCTCTCAGAGCCTTAGTGGCCGCAGGCAGCTCCCACGTCCCGCATCCCACGTCCCAGTGGAGCCACATGGGGAGGTGGGGTGGTCCCACACCCCGGCACCTTCCCCTGCGAGCCAAGGAACCTGTGGGCTGCAGGCACCTGTGGGCTGAAAGGCACACAGCCCAGGACGCCCCGCTCGCTCGAGCCGCGTGTCCGTACCCAAGTAAGCAGGGCTTTGTCGGCCTCCTTCGGGGTCTGAGCAGGGATGTGTGCAGTGTGGTTTCACTCTGGTCGTGGCTGCAGGGTGGCAGTTCTTCGGGGGTAGCCGGTGAAGGAGCGGCACAGAGGCGTGATGGAGGGGGCACAGCCTCCTGTGCCCTCTCCCCACGGTCTCACCTGCAGCCACGTCCAGGTGTGCTCAGGATTCCCCGCGCCCCTGAGGAACGCCCCTCACCGTCCCCGACTGGGCTAGACATTGGGCGAGGCCCGAGTCTCAGCCCTTGGGACTGGCCCTGTCTGCCCACTGCTTCTGGTCACTTCTGAATTCCAGATCTCCTGTCTGACCTCGTCCCTGACCGAGAGCGGCAGCCCCAGCTTCTTTCCCCCTGCTCTTTCTCTCTCCAGCCCGTAGGGTTCGTGAGTTTCGACAGTCGCTCGGAAGCAGAAGCTGCAAAGAACGCCTTGAACGTGAGTACCAGCTCCGTGGTCGCGGGGCTCCGTCAGGGCGGGAAGTCCCGGGAAGGAGCGTGGCTGCGTGACCCAGCAGGTAGGGACTCCTTGCTCAAGCCCTTGTGGGAACTTTCCCAGGGCTGGTCAGATGTGCAGGTGACCCCGGAACGGCTGGCAGGTAGCATGGCGGTGAAGGGCTGGACTCCCACACAGCCAGCCGTGGTTCGAGTCCTGGACCTGGCGGCTCGCTTTCTCACTTATCCTTCCTCTTGCTCTGTGTCTCTGGTCAAATTAAAAAATAAATGACAATGGCAAATAAAATTGAATAAGCAGTTCCTTAAAAAAAATGAGGACGCCTTGTGCCGGCGTCCCCCAACGGGCTCCCGGCCCATGGTCGTGCAGGCGGCACTTGAACTGTGTGGGAGACGAGCCGGTAGTGCTGCCTTCTCCAGAGACAGCACTGGCTGGGACATCGCGTGGCCGGCCTCAGGCTAACGCCCGCACCGCGCGCAGCTGACGGGCCTTTCTCACCTCCTGTGCCCTCCCGTCGGGAGGGTGGCTTAACCTCTGTTTTGAACAGTCAGTCTTTATTCTGGTGGGTTGAAACACGCCGCGTGAGTCTGTTCTGTACACAGTGATCTTGGTTTGTCGTGGTTGTGCGGAGCCTGAGTCTGTTGGGGGATCCCGTCTGCCCTGAATGTCGAAGCTTTAGCCCGCGTCCCCAGACGTCCCCCTCTGATGGGGAGGGGAGCCGAGGAGGGGCGCAGTGCGGGTGCCGAGGGCCGACTCGGGGAACGTCCTGGCAGGATCCATTCTGTCAGCTCCAGGCATTGGTTTGGTGGAAGGGGCCAGGCCGCCTTGTCAATCCACACGCCTATGGCAAAATTTGAAGTATAAAAATAAATTTTAAAGGAGAGAGAAAGGATGTGTGTTTTTGCCAGGGTCTTGCTATGTAGAGGTTCTTCCTGTCCTGGTCATCCAGGACCCAGTCCCCCGGGCAGCCCCAGGACCAGCAGTGCCCGCCCCCTGCTCCTGCAGAGAGGGCATGGGAGCCTCTCTCCTCAAGGCCGCGGTCCAGCTCAGCAGGGCCTGTGCTGAGGCTGGCCACCAAGCACTCCCAGGATGGGCGACGGAGGAGGGGCAGAGCAGGGCAGGGCCCACCTTGTGCAAATGTATCATCTTAAGGTTTTTTAAAAAACGTGTTCCCCAAATCCCCCTGGGGAGAGCAACAATGTCTCATTCCACTGCCGAGAAGTGCAGGCCGGCAGGCGGCACGAAGTGAGCCCCCTCGTCCCTGCCCGTGCTGGTGCGGGCTGTCTCCTGGGCGGTGGCGGTTTGAGTCCCTTGTCCCCTTGCAGCCCTGGACGGTGCCCCGGTCAGTCAGACCAGTTCCTGGTGTGGAAAAACGTGCTCGGGTGGAATGAAGTTGTCAAGGGGTTACTCAGACCTAAAATAATACCGTGAATGTTGTTTTTGCAGCAAAACCTCCAAATTAGGCCCAGGGTAGCCCCTCCCCACACTTCCTTCAGGCTCTCATTGGTCCCTGTACGCCGCAGGCCTAGAAACCCGCTAGACCGGACCTCGCAGCAGGCCTCCAGCCGTTCTCGGCCTTGGCACCTGTCTGAATTCTGTGCCCGGCCTTTCCTTTCCGTACTGATGGGGGTGAGGCTGGAAGCTGCGATCATGGCCGGGACACCAGGAGACAGCTGGTGGAACCCTGACTGGGGACCCGAGAAGGCCAGGAAGCCCCTGGGAGTGAGCACAAGCAGCCTGGGCCCCCGCCCTGCGGCCCCGGGAGCCTCGAGGGCCACCCGGTCCTGGGGAGCAGTGCCCTATTGTCCCCTGTCCCTGGCTGTCGAATTTAGCACATGGTGCTGTCCTGTGGCCAGGTCACACTGCGCTGTCTGCTCTCGGACGCTGGGTGGCTTCTACCTCTGCCCACATGGACGCTGCGATGTCCCTGGGCTTTAGGTCTCCCTGTGAGCCCGTCTTCTGTTCCCGTGGGAGAGACCCGGGCGGAACTCCTGGGTCACTCTGCAGTCACGCCGCCCCCGTGCCCCTGCCCTCCTTGCTCCTTGTTGTGCAGTGTCACCGCTTGAGTAGAGGTGGCGGGCCAGGGTCCTTTGGCAGTGGGTCTGAGTGCTGGGAACCTCCCCGACGTATGGCGCCTCTTCTGGGGTCTGCTGGCCCTTCTCTGCACTGGCAGCTTCCGCCAACCGGCCCTAGACGGGTGTCCTGCCTGCTAACAGGAGCGGGGCAGGCTCTCCTCGGACGCTCGTTCCATGACTTGCAGGGGACACGGTTCCTCAAGGTCTCCATAGGCTCGGGCCAGAGCTGACAAGCTTCGCTCTGAAAGGGACGGGCAGTTACCCTCGGAGCCAAAGGGCAGACGCAGAGGGACTGAGCACGTCCGCGGCTCGCTTTCCTCCACTGAAGACGCGGGACCATGCGCCAGCACTGGCCACGGGCACTCAGAGAAATTGCACTTGACAGTGTCACCGTCAAACCGACAACTGACCAGGAAAAGAGCCCCGTCCCGCCGCGTAAATTCCTGACATTCGAGCAAGCACCATCGCTCACAGGCCAGAACCATCCTGCTCCTGACCTTGACCTGGCGCCTGAAGAGCCCCGGCTCTGCTTCCCTGTCCCTCCGCAGTTCCCTGTCCAGAGACACGGCCAGCTCACCTCCAGAGAGCACCGCGGGTCGGCCAGCCAGGGCCCCTGCACACGCCGGAAACTGTGGAGGACGGGGACACACACACACTC